CACCACCCCCACCACCACCACCACCACCACCATCACCAATCCCATCCAATCCAAACCCTTGTCTAAATTTCACAAAAACCATTCGTTTCTCACAACCCCATCTCTCCTCCTTCATCAAAATCCCATTTTTATCTGTCAAGAATGAGTTTTTCTCCTTAAAAGCTCCTAATTTGTACCAACTACTACAAATTGACACTTTTCTTGCACTTAAATTAGTGAAACAAAAACTGGGTCGATGTAATTTCAGCCCAAGAAAGTTTGTTTTTTTGTACAAAGCATCATGTGGTGTCTTTAAGGGTGATAAATTGATGGGAATTTGAGCAAGTGCTGTCATGGTAAAGTTCAATACTTTTTACTGAAAAAAGGTAGTTTATGTGAATGGGTTCATGTGTTTATTAGAATTTCAAAAACAAAAGGGATAAGAAAGACTCCATTTTTTTTTTGCTAGCTCTTGTATAGTTAGCAATTTGCAGAGCTCTTCTTCTCAACAAGATTTTTCCAATCATACGTGGCGTAGAACACCTAGCTGGTAGGATGTGGGACCAGATTTTTTAAATAAAATAAAAATACATGTCTAATAACATAACATATGAATATTTAAATGGTGTAATTTTTAATATAATTATTATAATCGTGAATATTGATATGTAATAGGGTCAAAAGTATACATTTTAAATTATTAAAGGATAAATATATTTAATTAAATAAAATAAATATTTATCAGTTATTGAGGAATAAAAATTATTACAATATATAATAAAAGAAAATGGAAAATAGTGTGGGCGAGAGAATAAAGAAAAATACTTTTTATGTGTGTATAATGTTTTCTTTTTTATTTTTCATCCGGTGTCTGATACTTGTAGTGTAGCTCAACTAAATCAAGCCTCGAACTAGAAATCTTTGGTTAACGGAGTAGCAATCTCATCCTCTACATGATATCCTTTGATGGTTATGTGTGTTAGTATGTACTATCCATATTTTAGGATTCTTGGAACAAGTAGTGTTATCTTTTTATTATACATCAATTAGTAAGTTCTCTTTATAATTTTTATATCACTTTATTTTTATTTTAAATAGTACTCTCTCGCTTCCAACTTGTTTGTTTAATTTTGACTTACTACAAAATTTAAGAAAATAAATCAGAACTTGATAATTTATCACAAAACTCAAAAGCTTGTTGTAGACAAATCTTTGAAAAGAGATAAAAGAAGAATTAACCTAAATAGCCGAGTAGTCAAAAATAATACTGTAATTATATTGAAGACAAAAAAAAAAGAACCAACTGCTCATATGCTTCTCTATTTTATTTCAAATGAAGTATTCATTGCCTCAGAATGAAAGGATTCAGTGCTAATGTTAACACTCACAAAATGTTCTAGTTGATCTGTAATAGGAATCTGGTATACTTCAAACAAGTAAATCCAATATAACACACAAACAGTAGGGAGAAGTTGACTGATGTCTGAAGATAATTTTTCACAACAATACATGTTGCATAATCACTCATTCTTTTTATCTCCTGAAGTAGCATCTCCTGACGTAGTTGTAACAGCTTCTGCGCGATATGGCGCTGCACTGTATGCATGACGCATAAGGATAGCAAAGAAAACCATCTCCACGATCACTAGTTCATTCTGCATACCTTCCTGAAGGCGCTCCACCTCAAGCCAGAAATAGTGAGATTTTATTATGCCTAGTGATACCAGAGTACTAAGCAGAATACCCTGCAACGTGGTACAAGTTTCTTTTTTAGCATAACAAAACTATACTGTAAAAGCAGATATTAATATTTGATTTTCATACCATTAGGAGATTTGGAAATATAGTACATTCTGATGAGTTGCGAGTCTATTGGAAACAACCTCTCTATCTTTACAAGATATAGGGGTAAGGCTGCGTACACATCACCCTTCCCAGACCCCACTGTGGGATTACACTTAGTTTCGTTGTTGTTGTAGAACATTCTAGCAGACTTCATAAAGAAATTTAGCGCTAATGGTTTGATTTTTATACCATTAGGAAACAACCTTCTCTCTACCTTTGCAAGGTTGGAAGTAAGGCTGCTTACGCACCACCCTCCCTAGACCTCACTTGTGGAATTACACTGGGTTTGTTGTTGTTGTAGAACATTCTAATCAATAATTCAGGTCTCATAAAGCAAATAGCAGCAAAATTTGAAATCCAATATGTAAATTACAAGAAAGCAAAATATAAGACTGTAATGAAAGATGAGAGACGAACCTGCCAGAAAACGAAAAAGACAATTCCTTTGACACACAGGAACTTGGCTAGAGGCTTGTGAGGCGCCAACTCCTTCGCAAACACGTGGTAGAAAACCACAAGAGAGTACAACGCCAGTGAAACGGATATGTTCAAAATGATGGTAAAGGTCCAGCTAACCCAACTAGGGTACACTCCAAGCATTTGTAAAACAACCATCAAGATGGAGCATACAGGGCGAATCACAACAAACTGCCATGTCCAGTTCTTGAGAAGCTTCAATGTATGATGGTTCAAATGAGCAGTGTGAGGCTGCAGTGACACAACAGTTAGCTTGTGACCAAGTACCATGATAACACTAAAACTGTATATGTAAGCTTCTAGGAGGCATCATGCTTTTTGGTCCCAAAGAAAAAAGAAAGAGAGCACTGAAATGGTGTACTTATATGCCTAACATCTGAGTTTATAAACTTACTACACAGTAAAATAATTTGTCCATGTAAACTTAGTAAGCAACTCAATGAAGGAGCATACCTATCCATCGGTGCAAAAGAATTGAAATAGTGCACTCTGTGCTTAACAGTATATATACTCTATAAGGCATGCTGAACGGAATGTAATTTAGTTTCCATCCTTGTTGGCATCATCACATTTTTTTCTCATAAACATGCAATGTTGATAATATATACGAGTGATATGTACACATAATTTTAGATTACACATTGTACCTGGAAGAGTGTCATTGGGAATGAGTGGTGAATCTGTCTTCCCTTAATTTCATCAGGGACTATGTTTTTGCTTATGGATATATTCAAGTAAGTGTACATCAACCCCAGAAACTTAGCCATCACCTGTATCACATAGAACACAAGTGAGCAAAGAATCTCTGACAAGAACACAGCTCAACAAGTGACGCTTGATGCAGGCAGAAAGTGTTAACTTGGCTATACTTACAATTGCTTCATAACATTCTTTGACAGATTCCAAGAAAGTGAAAAAGGGTTTGCTTCCCATGAAATCGACCAACCCAATGAAGGAGACAATAGCATACAAGGGTGCCATGAGGACGATAATAATTATTGCCTTTTGCTCTTTAGGCTTCTTCCATGACGTAAAATGTTCTGTCACTAGCTGTATGCTGAAATGCAAAGTCAGCATAAGACATATACTGGATACTATCAGTGTGACTTGCCCACGATCCAGATCCAATTCCATATTTGTTGTTAGCCAACAAGAATACCAAAATCAAACCTGCACAGTGGTGTTAAGACTTATCAGGACTGAATTTTCAAGAGAAATGTAGGGAAATAAAATAGACAAGAATTTCATTGATATACAGAAGTACAACTTTCATTGTTACCCAAAATTCATTTGTGTACAATATATCTACTGATTTATGTAGATTACCACCATTATTTAATTCAATCCACCAAATTTCATTTCTATTCCTCGACCTTCACTCCTCATGTCAACCATCAGGATATATCACCACTTCCACTTGCAACAATTAAGAAACCCAAATGACAAATCTGTAACACTGACTTCTCATACCAGTCAGTTTTTTAACCCAATTATACCATCTTTCATAATCTGAAAAGTTATAATTCCGAACACAACCCAGCTTTGTCTTCGGTCTTCAACTTAATGTTCTAACTAGAAAGGCAGATTGACTCATTCATGACCTAAACTAACCCTTCAAAGGCACTCAATGTTCTCAATCCATCCCATTTTGGGTCAATAATTGGATATAGCTCCGTTAACCAATCAATCTAAACTAAGCCATCTGGTGAACCATGACTTAATAGTGCTCGCAGTTCTTAATTGGTACCCAATCAATGATAAATTACCATAAAAAAATCTTCTTATTTACATGCTAACAGTAATAGAACAAATCTGTTAGTTAGTTCAAGATAGAGTTAAGGTAAGTGGAAAGGTTAAAAGAAAAGAGTACTTATCGACATCAACACTTAGTCCTAACTACAACGAGAAATATGAGGAATCCAAAGTATCATAGTATCACTAGTACAACAACAAAACAACATGCCCCGTGTAGTCCCATAAGTGGGGTCGGGGTAGGATGCACGCATCCTACCTACCAGTGTAATCCCACAAGTATGGATGATATTTTAGCTAACCGTGTGTGGTTCAGTGTGCAACTTTTGGGTCTTTTGCCCAAGAACAAGATGAAATTACAAACTAAGCTAAATCACTCTGCCTCACCTCTAGATTCCTCAACAGTTGACCTTGTATTTTTATGACCTTAAAATCATTAAAAAGACAAACCCTTTACAAATTACAAGGTCAATTTGGACTCAAACAAGCTAAATGGAAACTAGCTAGGCTATAACACAGTCATGGATATTTCAAGATTCACCCAAGAAAAAAACATCAAGGATCCAGCTGCTGCACTAATGAACAGAAACAACATTTTAAAGAAAGGTAAAAATTTGATCTTTCAACAATATTGTAATCTAAACAAGTTAAATCTCTACATAAATGACTTTTTATGGATAATCCTAATAAATACATAATGTTTTCAACATAAAAAGCATAACTAATGAGTGAAGGAGCTAAAGAATAGAGGAAAAAAGGGTAAGAAAGAGAAAGACAAGTACTTACAGAGTTTCTAGAAATGGGCGTCAAATGCAATGAAGAAATTGTTGGGATTCTTGTGAATAATATTGTACACCAACCAAAACACTGACCCTGTAGATCGTACAAGGCTGTTAACTATTGGAGAAAATGAATACTCTTTATATTCAAAAAAAACAATTGCCACGTTGAGTTTACGATATTGATATGCTAAAAGGACAGTCGATATATCCTGACGGAGATTTAAATACTAGGTGATTTTCTCATCTGTTATATATATGTAGGCAGTGTGATACTCTAAGCTCGGGGTCTGGAGAAGAGTTTGACTATAAGGATTTATTGTATGCAATTTTACACTATATTTCTACGAGAGGCTTCGTTCACAACATGACAATATATTAGTGAAAATATAGATAGAAAATTGCACCCGACACTACAATTATAATGTGACATAGAGGGAATTCACTCGTCTCTTACGCGGCTTTGTAATGGCCTTCATTTTTGACAAAATTATTTGAAGGCCTATGTTTTCTCTATTGGGGGGCTAAATGCTAGTAACACTTTTGCTTCTAGCTTTATAGTAGATTTTAGAAAAGATAGAGAAAACTAGTCCCATGAAAATATGACTTAGTTCAAATTAGTAAAATTAGCCTATTAAATAATCAATGTGAATTTGAACGTTAATTTTTATTCTATTTATTTAACTAAAATTGAACGCATTTAGAAGATAATTATAAATTTTTAAGTGACAATTGAATGTGTATGAATTTTACGTGTGGTTTTGGAAGTTGAAGAGTTGTGGGTCCACCTAATTGACTGAATTTACGTTTCTATTAGCTAAGCCTAGAAATAGTGGGGCCAATATCTAGAAGAACGTTTAACACGTGGCACCAAACCACGTCCTCATCACGTGCCGATCCGACTTACTCGGAGGGCCCACAGTTGCCGGCCCCAGTTTCTGAAACACGTAAAGGGTCTTATGGATCTGTTTCAATCAATTTGGTCGATTTTAATTTAATACGAAAATTAAAAAATATCTTTAATCTCGTATTCTTCAAACTGTCATGTGAAAAACTGTCAAAAATAAACATTTCATTTATAAATGGATTGAAAAAAAAATATGATAAACAAATTGAAACAAAAAACTAAAAATTGATTGTTATAAAATAACTTTCCTGTATTGATGATAAACTATACTGAAGAATTCTTCCACGCATTTAACATCAATAAAATGTATAAATTTAATGTCTGGTGTATTAGTACATGCCTAGTAATGTTATTGGTCAATGCCCAGTGCCCATAATGGCACGAGGATTGCACGTTCAATACAAAGACCATACCAAAAATTTAATCAACTGAATTATTAATACCACACGTATGGAGAGAATTAATTTTTTAGAGCACTTATAAAACAAAAGATTGCAGGAAGAGGTTCATCCAAACGCCGTTATTAAAAATCACATTGTATACATATAGAAATCAATTCATATGGTGTATGTAATAGATGATGAGCCCTCTTAATGAAAATTCTGCCTTCAGCAGTGATTTCACATTCCAGAATTACGTTGGAGATGATTCTAAAATTGACCTGCCGGTCTTGATAATACCGAGTAAACAAAACCAAATCATAGGACTATGCTTTGGACAAAGTAGTGTATCCCTAGGCATTATTAGTTCGACAATATTAGGACTGTGATATATACAAAATAAAAGGCTTTCATAATAAATTCATACAAGAAAAGACATCGCTAAGAATATAGTTCATCTCCTAGCAGAGACAAAACAAAACACTAGGAAACCATTTGCCTAGTTTGATGAACAATGTAACTTAGTACAATAGTACTTGTGCTGATGAAAGATGATACAAGCAGAAAATTAGCAGTCACGCAGATGCACAGCAGGTGGTGCATAAATTACAACATAAATAACAAAACGTGAACAAGTTAGACAATATAATTGAGCATTATTTCTGTATAGAAGTCTTGAGTTCGTCCTATTAAGTTTGTGACAATATTTTGAGCATATTGATGAGATAGAAAATTTTACATCAATGTGCAATTGATCAGACTATGATGCCTGGACTAAACTTGACAGCATCAAATGAGGATCTGTTTTCAAACGTCCATTTGCTTGGTTCATGCTACTAACCTAATCGTAGGAAATTGGATCAGAAGAAATCATTAAAAACAGGGAGTATGAAATATTTCAAGTACAAGCCACGTGAAAGCACAATGAGCTGAGCATGATGAACAGATTAATCAAATAGAATAAGCATGATAAACAATGAATACATAATCATTTCAAGTAGTTGAGCACCTAGGAAAATGAAGCATGTTTTAACACGAAGAATTTGACTGACTGGCATGTCTTTTAACACTCAGGCATCTTCAGAGTATTCTGATCATATTCTCTGATGCACATTGGAAAAGGGGATGGATCTATAACCTCTCATATTCCTCTTGTTGAAAAAACATGGACATGCCTTTGAGTTATATGCAAATTTTTCCATTCCTTTTCCGAGAAACAATATCTATTGATAGAAGTACTAATACTGAGACTAACAAATCCTTACCTCTGGATTACTTGTTCTGTATTAATGTCCAAGCTACCCTCTTCACCTCCTTTGCATTCTTGTATATGATAATATAGTGCGGACCATCCGATATCATTCTCATGGCCTGATGAATGAAACAGAAATAAGTGATGACAAATCTTTTAATCAAATAATGTTTTAGAAAGAAAAGTCAAATCCACTGAAGCCATGTCAAAATCTTTGTCAAGGGATACCAAAGCTCATAGTAATCTTTGCAGACTTAACATATTCACAGTTCTTTGAAAGACCAAGGCTTTTGTAGAGCAAATCAGAGGAAAATTGCTATCTTACCTGTAAAAGGTAGAAAGACTACTATACAAAATTTGTGCAGTTGATGAAGAATCTCTCTTTTGGCCACAATTTACGTTGATGAGACTCTGAGGAACTTGGTGGAAAAAATTGATTTGTGAAGGATATTCACCAATGTATGATCTTTTCCAGTTTCATAGAGATTTCAAAACCTCCCCCAGAACTAGTCCCCACTGCGTCCAATGAGTGCCACCCTGCAATTGGAAATTCAAGTGAGAAAATGAAATCTCCCCCAAATTCGTTGAAAAAACGAATAAACATATACCTCTTTCCCACATGATCAATTACATAAACAAACATATAAACAATTACTCCTATAGAAAACTAACTAATGGCGGAAGAAATGGCAGAGTATTACCTGACAGAAAACAGAGAAAGGCTCTCTTAGTGGTCCATCACATGAGAGCTCGCTAGTACTTCCATCAATGAAGGTTCCATCAGCAAAAATGACCTAATCCATGAATAACATTCCAAAAATAGGTGGAAGGTAAGTCGCTCAAGATAATAAACTCTAGTAAAAAAGTAATTAAGTTGTGCTTCATATATCAATTATACTACAAGAATCCAAATGTTGAGCATACAAAGGAAAAGAAAAAGGACAAGCCGGTAATAAGGTAAAAAGACCAAGATAAAATTGCAGACATCAACCTAGACTCAAAATTAAACCAACTATCCAAGCTCGAAAAGTTAGGACAGAGATAAGCTTGCTTCTGATTCAACGCCACAACTCCCTGATCTTCTATGATTCCAACGAACCCAAGCAGATAAAAGAAGACATTAAAGAAATGTTTCCTACTATAAAAATTAAAAAGAACATATTTGCTCATATTAGATTCCCATCGCAACTAATTCTACATGAGCTTTAAGGCATGATAGTTATATAGAGTTTCCTATGTCATAGCTTTAACAATTTACAATCTTCAATAATGTTATTTCCAGTACATTGTTAACACAATACTAACAAGAAAAAAGAAAAAGTTCCCTTCAAGTACAGCGAAACTCTTATTCCCAACGAACTGGTCATACCTCGGATGCATAGCCAGCAGTTGCACCTGCAACAGGCCTGATAAAAGAGCTAACAGGAGAACTTCTCTGAACAGCCTCGCAAAAGGAAAGTAGACGCTCACGGTTTCCAAGTTGTACAGCCTGACAAGAATAACAAAACTTAAGTGTCCAGTTGCACGTTTAAGTGTGAAATCCAGCAATGACTGCTTTAAAATACGGGCACACGTCTGAAAGCACCATTATGTACTTGATATAGTGATATAATTCATAGAAGAAACACAAAGATTGTTACAATGCTCATTGAATGAGGAAGTGTGATTGAATGGTGGATGGTACACTTTAGAACCTTTTTTGCAAACAGATGGGCATTCTTCGACAGTTAGCAAACAAGGACTTGTATATGCCTTGACTAATGCAAGATGTGACAAACAAACCTGCACTGTATCATGACGCTTGATCCGGCAAAGTGGCTGCACTTTATATCCTTTAGCTGCCATGACTTCAGCTATCAGGAAGCTTCCCTTGCAACAGGAGTTAGGAAAGATGCATATAACCAGGTGAGGCAGAAGTAACAAAAGATTATTACCACATCAAAACTTTAGCAGAAAAGAGATACCTTTATTGCTTCACCAACCATTTGAGGTGAGAGGAATAAACCCTGAAATAAAGTTCTCATTATATCACCAGGGGTAGAACCGCAATCAACTCCAAGTCCTGGGGCAGAGAGACGGGAAGCTGCTGCTTCTACCCATCTTTTCCTTCCCGCAACATATCCACCACATGGTGCAATCGTTCCACCCGGATTTTTTATTAAACTTCCCGCAATTAGGTCAGCACCCTGCTCATCCAAAAATCAACTTATGATATTTCCACATGCAGAACTTTAATGACAAGAATAACTTTACATACCACCATAGGAGGTTCGATGTCGTCAACAAATTCACCATAGCAGTTATCTACCATGACCATGCAGCCTGGGTTCTGCGTCTGCGTCAAAGAAGAGAGTTAGAAGGCAGAACTATCTTTTCTAATAGCCAATGTTAAGACATCCAAACACCGATAAGTGAAAACAAGAAAAATTATCTATCCCAGTGTTACAAACACAAACCATCAAGGATCAGGATGACATCAGTTATATAGACATGGCATCTTATGCCTTATAAAGAGTATACTTCAAATAACTTGTAATTCTTTGGCACCCTTTCAGTAGCCAAATATTTGAGAGTTTGTT